TTTTATCATGTTTTCCTACAGTTTTTGTTATAATTCCTATTAACTTTGTAATCAAATGTTCACTATCCTTAGTGTTACTAGTTCTTTTTCCTTTTAAAGAGCATGTAGTTTTGATATTTCTCCTCAATTCTGCTGCTTTGGCCTTACCTCAAAAGTTGTTGTTGTTGTTGTTGTTGTTGTTGTTGTTTTTAACCTGAAAAAGCCATGATTTTATTCTCTCTTAATGCTGAATAATATTCCTTTTTTTAAATTGGTTTTATTTTTTAAATACATGACAACGGAATGCTTTACAATTCTTATTACACATATAGAGCACAATTTTTCATATCTCTGTATATAAAGTATGTTCATATCAATTCGTGTCTTCATACATGTACTTTGGACAATGATGTCCATCACATTCCAGCATCATTGCTAACCCCCTGCCCCCTCCCTTCCCCTCCCACCCCTCTGCCCTATTTGCTTTTACCCTTTAAAAATTATAGGGTGTCTCACAGGCCACACATGCCCTTTCTTGGAAAGTTTAAGAATGCAATCTGACCAAAAGAAGAAAATAAAAATCACCCATGCATCATCATACTCTTGTAATTTTACAGGTATTTAACAAATGTATTTTAAGTTTATTTTTGATATTAAGTTATTTGATATTTTTAATCTCTATTTAAAATATCTTTTATTAATCACTAGCTTTATTAGATCAGAGAAGGTGACAGTATACTTTATTTTGTTGGGAACTTAATGAATTTTGTTTTGTTGCCTATAAATTATTATTATTTTTAATATGGTTTTTAAAATTAATTTATTTATTTTAATTAGGTATGTATGACAGTAGAATGTGTCTATAAGTTATTTTTATAAATGTTCAAATGGTGTCACAGAAAGTGAGTTCTGTCTATTGCATGCAAGAATTCATAGATATGATCAAATACATGTTATCAATTCTGTTTTCCAAATTGATTGTTATTTGCCACATTAGTAAATGAGAGTGTATTCATGCCATCTAATATATTTATTTGTTCTTGCTCGTTTCTCTTAATGCCTTATAAATGGCAGTGTACAACCCACACATTTTAAGGGAGATACATGTGATGCCTACACGCTGTAGGAATGTCTCCTTGGAGAACTGCAACCTTGTCTAGTCAGCTTTACATTGCTGTGACCACAATGCCTGATAAAAACAAAACAGAGGAGGAAAAGTTTTTCTGGGAACGTGGTTTCAAAGGCTCACCTGTGGTTAGCCAGCTCACTGCTCTGACCCCAAGGAGAAGCAGAACATCATGGTAGAAGGGCTTGGGGGAGGAAAATTGGTTAGTTCCTGGCAGACAGGAGCAGAGAGAGCAAATGAGGAGCGAGAGATGAAAAATAAACCCTGAGGACCTGCCTCTAGTGCCCTTCAACCTCCAGCCACATCTCACCTGCCTATAGTTAACACCCCCCAGTAGTCCATTAAAACTATTAATCTATCAAACTAATTAATCCACTGATTAGTTGAGTGTTTCCATAATCCAATCATTCCACCGATGTAGTAACACAGGGGCTTTCAGGGTCTACCTCCTATTCAAACCATAGAAAACCTTCATTAAAAATCATCCTTTATATTATTTTTTATTTTAAATTTGATTTTCTTTATACTAACATTGCAATTCCTGATTTCCTTTAGTAGCACTTGTTAGAACTATTGTTTCCTATTCTGCTGCTTACCTCTGTTATTTTACATCTTTCTGTATTTGTTGTAGTTTTCATCAGTATTACATTGTTAGAATTTAGATTTCATTCGGAAAAAAAAACCTTTTTATCCTTGGTGGAGAAATTAATTTATTGGAATATATTATTATAACATTGCATTCCTATGTCTTGACATCCTTGGGCTCTCTGGTGTTTATGTGTGTGTGTGTGTGTGCACACACGTGCGCACTTGTGCACACGTGCACTTATTATATTTCCTTCCATTTCTTTTGCAACCAGCATGCAGTTTTTCATCTCCTTTTTGAAGATGTGTAATTTGCTTTGTACACTACTAGTTTGTAGACTTTTAATTTTTAAGATATCTTTTAGGACATAAAACTATTTTATTGTACCCAGTTTTGCATTTCAGTTCTTGCACTTATTAGCAGCCCAATCTTCCTCAAATTCCTTGCTGTTTCTGTTTCTGTTTCTTTTTCTGTGAACCAGGAACAATAATAACTGATTAAACGAAGAATACATTTAAAGTACTTAGAAGAATTCCTGGTATATAGTAAGATATCAATAAACATAAAATTTCCCATTGTTTTCTTGTTCCTGATTTCAGAGTAAAAGCAAAATGGCAAATTTTGAATTCTTTCTGTTCAAGAATACCACCTGTGAAAATACTTTTAATTAATTTTGTCTGCAATAAGTGATCTACTGTAAATCTGCCTAGCTGAGACTCTTTCATCTCTTTGATTATGCCTTCTTATCTATTTGCTTTCATGTCTTCTTCAAGGCTAGAAATGATCTCTGCACTAATCAGACTTTCATTCTTTAAACTTTCCTTATGCTTTGGAGCAGCTTCTCAAATTTCACCTCTCACTTATTTTATACCTTACCTTCTGAGTTCATTATTGTATTCAATATGGATTTCATTTTAGTTTGTTTTTAATTTCCTTGTTAGTCTTTTTATATAATCCTTTCCCCTTCCCATATTGCTCAATTGTATCCAGTCTTGTGACTGATTTTTCTTAACCCATTGAGTCCCGTTGTCCCAGATGTGGAACACTTAAATATATAATTTCATAATATTGGAATTAAAGCAATTATTAAACAATTTTAGTTAATTAATGCTAATAAATTAACATAATATATAAGCTTTAAATTATGATTCCCAACCTATTGTAAGGCCCCAGTGTTATTTTTATTGAAATATTTGCAGAATTGAAAACTTGGGACTTACTGAGTGGACTTATCCTCTCCTCACAGAGATCTGTCTTTTTGCATTCTGTTGAAGGTTTGTCTTGCAATTTTTCTCTAGTTGCTGTCATGTGTCTTTGTCAATGAATCTTCCTCTAGATGCTGCTTTCTTTTCCCTGTTACTTAGATTTTATTTTGATTTTTTTTCTCACTGACATTGTCTCTCCATTTTCTTATTTAATTATGCTGAAAAGTTGAGTGATCCACCTGGGCATAATCTGGCCACCGACTATGTGATGATCAGTTGTCCTGAGCTGCAGGGGAGGCTGGGTGATATAGGATGTTGCTACTCCAACTTCCGCTTTCAGCGGGCTCTTCTGATAAATTCCTTGTCACTTATGTGTTACCTCCTACCCACTGTCTGTTTCTAAGAAATCTGTTGTCACAGACCAGGCAAACACGAATTACTTACAGGGGTTCTGTGCTTCCTCTCCACACATCTTGTGTCCTAAGATACAATGTGACAGGCACCACATGCCTGCCTTGCCCCTCACAGCTCTTTACTTGGGAACTGCTTCCTTTGAATGGGTCAGATAGATGGTAGAGGAGCCAGAGAAAATTAGCATTGTGTTCTCACAAAGCACCAGGAAGCAAAGTCTGCCTTTGTTGGTATTCCTTTAACGTTGGTAATTTACCCCAAATAATTCTTAATATTCAAACACAAATGCACTCCCATGATTGAAGTCATGACAGCTGTGGAAAGGCACAGCAGAAAGAGGGATCCTGGGGTGCCGGGGAGCTTGGGATCTTCCTGTGGTACTAACAGGTTACTCAAGATTGCAAGCTGTTCAGAATCTTGACCTTGTACACACTATGTTCAAATCTTTTTGATTCTAGTTCATTCATATTCTCTTGTTTCTTTTGCAGGATTACCTTACTAAGTTTCTAACTAACTTGATTTGCTCTCTGATGTTAATCTTGTTCCCAACTTTCTTCCAATCAATGCAGAAACATTCATTCCAAACTGAATGCCAAATTCTGCAATTCATCTCTGGTACCAAATGACCTAGAATGTTATATAAGGACTACCATTATGTGATCCCAGTCCAATTTCTATACATATATCTCTCCCGAATCTCATATAATAGTTTCCCGCTATTCAGAAGGGTATGTCCACACCCCGCAATGAACACCTGACACCACGGATAGCACTGAATCCCATATGTGTGGTTTTCTTCACTCATATTTATGATAAAGTTTAATTTACAAAGTGGACATTGTCAGAGATTAACAAAAACTAAACTAAAATAGAACAATTAGAATAATAAACTGCAAAAAAAGTTATATGAATATGGTTGCTCTCTCAAACATATCAAGAAAAACATTAATATTTTCAGATCCTGGTGGATTGCAAGTAACTGAAACAATGAAAAGTGAAATTGTGGATGGGGGGGTGCTATTATAAAATCCTTCAGACTCTGCAAGAACACTACCATTCACCTACATGTAAATGAAAGAGGAATATGTTGTAAATTATTTCTAAAATTTTTCTGATGGACAGTTTCCCTAAATCACAGGACAGTTTTCCAAAAATTTAAGCATTTTCAATTTTAATTTGTTGAGCTTTCCATCAGTTTTTTTTTCCCCAAAGAGTTTCTATGCAGGTATCCAGGTTCGATGTTTATTTTTACTTTGTTCAGGGGCTTTTGCCTATATTTCTCTAGTCCATACCAAAAGTTTAACTATGCAAATGCTGATTCTTTTTAAAAAGACTCAATTATGATTTATGTGTTGTCTCTAAATTATGCAAAATATCTTAAAACAAAAAAAAGACTAAAATAAATATTTTGAAATCCAGTGAAGACTATTGCTAACTACTATGCATTACAGTTCTTTTTTAATAAATTACAGCTTTAATTAGTTTACATTGTTCTTTTTAAGTCTTTCATAACAAGTAATATCTAATTTTACTATTTGGTTATATTTTCATGTTAAAAATAGTCCTTTCTCATTTATATAATACTTTACTGAAGAATATATACACTTTACAATCCAAATGAAAGAATAGCTAATATTTTCCATTTGATATTATTTGAAAAATATTTTGGAACCCTAAAAAGAATGTTGAAAAATTACTTCTCACTTCAGTAGCACTTACACCAAAATTGGACCAATATAGAGAAATTAGCATAGACCCTGAGCAAGGATGACACTCAAATTCGTGAAGCACTCCACATTTTCTCATAAAAATTTTTAAAAGCCGAAAAATTAATTTAAGAGATGATCAGATTTACAAAGAGGACTTCACATTAAGTTATTACTTTGAAATTTTATTTTTCTTAAAAAATATACAAGTGAGTAATAATCTTTATGTTTGGCTAAACATTTGTATAAAGGGGGAAAAAAGTTATAACTGGATAGTATGTAAAGTTGAAATAAATAAAAATGGCAAAATAACTTGTAAATTTACTACCCTCTCCAAAAAAAATTTAAAAAAGGTATACACCAAAGGCACTTTTTGGGACCAGGAGATATCAACAGGTGAACCTGCAGAAAGTGAAAGAAAATAGAACTGCCTAATAACACAGCTCCAAAAAACATGTGCATGAGTTAAAGCTGCCCAGGCTTTTTTAAGTTAATAGGTCTCACATAAAATGAGCAAGAGTGAAAAAGATAGTGTCTAAATTATTTACTTTTGATAAATATGTTATGTTAATTTTTCATGAAATAATTTGAACTCTCCTCAAACAATATCAACCCCCTGTTCACTTCCTTAACTTATTTTATTTTTTAATTAGTTCTAATTAGTTAGATGATAGCAGAATGCATTTTAATTCACTGTACACAAATAGAGCACAACTTTTCATTTTTCTGGTTATACACGATGTAGCATCATACCACATGTGCAGTCATACATGTACCTAGGGTAATGATGTCAATCTCACTCCACCATCTTATCTACCACCATGCCCCCTTCTCTTCTCTCCCTCCCCTTTGCCCAATCAAAGTTCCTCTCTTCTCCCCACGCCACCCCTCCCCCCATTTATGGATCAGCATCCACTTATCAGTGAGAACATTCAGCCTTTGTTTTGGGGGATTGGCTTACTTCGATTAGCGTTATATTTTCCAACTATATCCATTTACCTGAAAATGTCACAATTTTATTCTCTTTTAATGCTGAGTGATATTCCATTGGGTATATGCACCACAGTTTCTTTATCCATTCTTCTGTTGAAGGGCATCTAGATTGGTTCCACAATTTAGATATTGTGAATTGAGCTGCTATGAACATTGATGTGGCTGCATTACTATAGTATGCTGATTTTAAGTCCTTTTCGGTATAAACAAAGGAGTGGATAGCTGTGTCAAATGGTGGTTCCATTCCAAGTTTTCTAAGGAATCTACATAGTGCTTTCCAGATTGGTTGCACCAATTTGTAGTGCCCCCAATCCTTCACTTCTTACTACCTCCAAAGCCTACCTTTTCTTTCCAAAGTCAACCAGTCAAAAACTGTTTTAGAAACATGTGCATGACTCCACATGTATAAGTATACCATGCATGTGCCCTTGTTTACATAAATTAGATACAAAATATAAAAATAAAATATAAAAAATCGTATGTGTGTATTATTATGAATACAATTTGTTTTGAATTTTTTTTCTACTTAATATCAAGTTCTGTTTTTTTCCCATGTATTACATAGTAAAATGTACCAAAATTTACGTTTTGTCTTTTTGTACTACCAGAGACTTACCAGGTAAGTTATTGACACCAGATGTGGAGACTGAGTGTAAGCCCTGGCTCCAGCAACATTGATGTCAGGGAGGGCTGCTGTCTGCTCCAGATGGCCCCCTGTTACTATTCCTTCTGGAGGTGTGAATGCTGAGTCATCACATGTGAGAGGGGAGCAAATCCACTCACTCAGACTGTTATAAGAACTTTAACCTACCTTCCAGGGCTCCACCCACATGACTTTGGGCCTCCTAAAAGCTCCATTATTTAATACTCTCACGTTGGCAATTAAGTGCAAGAATTAAGGGGACACATTTGGACCATAACTCCTAATTAAGAATTTTCCCAAGTTTTCCTGTTTTAAAGAGCTCTTATTTTCCCTATTACATACATTGTTGCAATAGGCATTTTTAAACACACATTTTTGCACACTTGTGCATTTTCAAAGCTTGTTTTCCTAGAAGTATTATTGTCAAGAATGGTATGATCCCACAGGTATAATTCTACGTACTTAAATATTACGTTTTTATGAAATGGAAAACAGATATGATTCTATATGCAAAGATTTATAGAAGACTTTTTATATAAAAGGCCCAAAAGTTTCAATTGTTTCATTTAAGAGTAATATAAACAACATAAAATGTTTCTTTTTATTAAAATAAAATAATTTGTTTAGATGAAAAAAAGAGAGAGAATGGTATGATCAGTTCAAATTGTGACAGTTATTGAAAGTAACCTGAAACATTAAATAAGCTCTGTCATATTCTAACACTAAAAGAAATCCCACTGTATTACCTTAAAAGTGAATTTTCTGTGTAATTCCAGGAATAATAACCATTTAGAGAAATTACAAATAGGACTGATGAGTGTCTTCATTTTCCTTTACAGTGAAAGAATTATTGTGATGGTTCACTCAGAGGCTTGTGCTTGCCTTCCTTCCTTCCTTCCTTCCTTCCTTCCTTCCCTCCCTCCCTCCCTCCCTCCCTCCCTCCCTCCTTCCTTCCTTCCTTCCTTCCTTCCTTCCTTCCTTCCTTCCTCCTTCCTTCCTTTCTATTCATGATTTTGTGTTTGCATGAGTACATATGTGTTTATTGGTGGGGTGGGGGCAGCAAGAAACTAATGCCACTCTTTACCTGAGTTATTTAAATAGAGGTTGGTGATATGCTCTTTGCAGAGCTGTGGGCAAGGTTTGGGGGACTGAAAAGAGATAATTTAATATCCTGGCAGAAAGTCTAATGGGACCAGGAAAGGGATCAGTGAACTGGGAGAGGGTAGTTCTTTGGAGTAATTACTTGGTAAGGGCAGTTGCCTTCCTCAAGGGAAGTGGCCATCCTTCAGGGTGCACGGAAAGGGACAAGGAGGAACACGTTCCTAATCTGCATCCTTCTTACTCTGAGAGCTCATGCCATGGCTCCCTTTCCTAAACCAAGTGAAACCAAGGAAGGATGGATCTCTTCGCCATATCTAAGGATCAGCCTCCCAGAGCATAGCGCAAGGTGGAGACCAATAATGGAAGAAAATTCAACATAGATGTGCACTTGCATAAGTATGTGGTTGTGTGTGTGTAATAAGTTTCTTCTTTGGCTTCAATGGCAAAACCACTCTTTTTTGTTTGTTTGATCTTATAGGGATGTAAATAGGTGAAAAATAAAAACCAAGCTGTTTGAGGTACAGCTAAAGCAGGCAGACTATGGAAGCCTGCCCCTCTGTTCCCCTGCAGGATGGATAACATCACATGGCATGGATGGCACTGGAGGGATGTACTGTTATAGAGCATGGGGTGCATCAAACCCACCATGCCTTCATATTATCACCATGAATGATGTAGGCACAAATCTCACAGGCATTGTTGTTTTTGAGCTTGTGAACTGAAAAGTAATTTAATACACTACTTGTGGCATTCTCCTTGACTGAACATTATAGACATGCAGAGTATTACAGCCGGAAAGGGCCTTATAGTACAATATCAAGTCATGACAAAGCCTCAATCATACTGAAGATACAAGCTCAGACCTCCAGGATGCCCTTGGTAAACTGGATCATTATTATGGATACATAGAACAGGATGTTGCCCAGGTATGCTATTTGTTGCAAGTTGTTTGCTGCTCAGAAGCAATAGGTACATAAGTCTTCAGTCCGCACACAAACTTACTGTTGGCATAAATAAATTGCTACCACATACCCAGCTCTAATATTTTCTACCATTTATAAAAACCCATTGAGATTTAAAAAAAAAACCCTGAAAATTTTCCATTATGTACACTAATTGTATTGCATATATATTTTTTGCAATGTCAAACATAATACAGAACCACATATTATTTATTATTGGGAAAGAAGCTAAAGTAGGAAAAATGCAGACTGTCAGGTGTATAGGGAACTGTTTAATTATATATAACCTACAGGAAATGCTGGCTATTTAGAAGTAGGGGAAGAATAGCAAGACACATTCGTATTCTAGTAAGCAAGCAGCTGCAACCTAAAACAATTCCCAGACCCGACAAGCCCGTCCCTTCCTGAGTGATCATTGCAATTTTGAAAAGCCTTCAGTGCTTCTCTCTGAACTGCGCTCCTTCTATCAACCCTGAGTGTATGTGGACCACTCATGACTTTCCTATGGAAATCCTGTGCCTTTAATAACATCCGCATCATGACCTAGCAGAAGTGGGACAGGCTCGCTCCCAGACATTTTACCTCTTGTACTTGGTATCAACTTCTTTTTTCCAAGGCCTACATTTCTTCTTCCTTCCTGTGGCCTCCTGGGTAGTGTGTTTGGCTGTCAATTGACAGGGGAGATGGACCATGTACAAAAGAATTGCACATACAGAGAAAGAGAGACTGTGAACAGCAAATCCTGAAAGGCTTTGAAATGACAAGGATTTAAAATAACTGTTTAAAAGAAAAACTTGTTGGTAGTTCTTATCCTACTTTTCTACCACATGATGTTTCACTTTTCTCTTTCTTTTATGGTGTGCTCATCTGCTCTCTCCCCACCAGTTACTGGTCCTCTTTTCTTCCTGGCTTTCTTTTCCCATCTAATGCCACATCTGGAAGCTCTTCATTTTTTCTAGAGCTTCACCGAGAGTGTGGTGTGCAATGGGAACCATTCACTTTTTAATTTTTAAGTTTAGATTGATTGGGTAAAATGTAATTAGGGATCCAGCTGCACTCAGTTGTACTTGGTGGGTTTCAAATGCTCGATAGCCACGTGTGCCTGGAGGTCCCCACACTGGACAGAGCAGTTGAGGGCTGTTTCCATCACCACCCTAATTGCTTTTGGGTGGCTCTGGCTCAGGTCTTCATGGGGCAGGTTCTTTACAGCAAATACTATTCTTTTTATGCCCTCAGGTGTAAGACTTGAATCTTCCTTGTTGACACTTCTTTTACTTCTCTGTTCTTTCCATTTCGACTATCACTATGAAGTCCAAGCCCTATCACTGTTCTGTACACAGATGACTTAGTCCTACCTGATCTAGTCACTTGTAAATTCTCTCCACTCCAGTTCAGCC